TCAAAAATCAAGTATCTAATACACACACACAATCATCATTCCAATAAATCAAATAACAAAATAAATTAATTTAAACCACTAAATCTATTTAAACCCATTTAAAGACAATTTATTTAATTAAATATTTCCTTTAAAATCTAAGGGTATTACAGGGCAGTCTTGCGTAACCATGATAGTGAGATTGTGAAAGTAATTGTTTTTAGTCCTTTTCTTGCTCTTAGTGCATCGGCAAAGGCAGAATGTCTTCAAAAGGCCTTGTTCTAGGCCTGCTCGTTGAACTTTGGTAGATGCTAGTTCAAATCGAATTCTTTGGAAATCTATGATGATGTGTTGAAGTGTGATGTATCCAATTCGTTGCTTGAGCTTATTTTATATGATGTTCGTTGTATGTTTTAGGAATAGGCCTCGTTCCGCCTTAACCATGTTAGAAGACATGGCAACGAGATCGCCCATGTAATGGCAAAGCTTTTCGGTGGTCATATGCTTACGGATTTGATTTTAGAAGACATTCACTATTTGGCTGAGCGAGATCTTTGTGAAATGTCTTAGAATATGGTGGTTAGTTGTTTGTTGTGTGTTTGCCAGGATAAAAAAAAGAAAAGAAAAGAATATAATAAAAATAATATAAAATATAATATTGATGTAAAAGACCGTTTGACCCACTAACCCATAACACTTATCCCAAAATATAATTTGTGTTTAGGGAACCAACTTTTTTTAATAGAGAGTTTTTAACATATATTTTTTTTATTATATTAAAAAGAGTAAATTTCTAAATTTATTCTTATTAAAACACAAAATAATCAATAATTAGTGCATTTATTTAATCAAGTCAATGGCAAACGGATAGTTTTAAAATGTTATAAAATACATCTATTTTTTTTTAATGAAACATGTTTTTTGGTATATAAAGATTGACAAGAGATTTTGGAATTGATCTCTACTCTCTCCATTTTTAAATGATCTGCAATGGTCACCACTGTTATTCCACCATTTCCTTGTTTCTATCTTATCTAATCTTTTATTTGTAATAAACAATCACTTGAAATTACAACCCCCATAGTCTATTATATTCCTCTTCATCAACGCAGTGATAAGCTAGAGGAAGGTAACGATAATATCCAGTCATCATGCCCTTATGCCCTAGGCGACATACGTGCTACAATGTCCGGGACAAAGGGTTGCGATCCCACAAGGGTGAGCTAACTCCAAAAACACGTCCTTAGTTTGGATTGCAGGCTACAACTCGTTTCCATGAAGCTGGAATTGCTAGTAAAAGCCAATCAACCGCACGGTGGTGAATTCGTTCTCGAGTCTTGTACACACCACCCGTCACATTACAGAAGCTGGCGATGCTCGAAGTCGTTACCTTAACCACAAGGAAGGGATCTCAAAAGTAGGGTTAGTGACTGGAGTGAAGATGTAACAAGGTCTCCGTACTGGAAGGTGCAGCTGGATCAACTCATTTTTAGGGAGACCTAATGCTTTTTGGGTATTTTGGTTTGACACTGCTTCACACCTTAGTTAGACTTAGAGATGGAAGTCTTCTTTCATTTCTAGACAGTGAAATAACACCAAGCTCGTAAGCTTATTATACTAGGTCAGAACAAGTTAATAGGATCCCTTTTTTCACGTCCCCATGTCCCCCTTGTGGCGACATAGGGACAGAAAAAGAAAAGAAAAGAAAGGGATGGTATTTCTTTTGCTTTTTGTATAGCAGCCCCCAGTGGAAGGCTCGCACAACGAATTATTACCTTATTGGTAGACCGCGCCCCTAATAATTGCGTTGTTGTACCTAGACTGTGAGTTCTCTCCGCCACTAACCAATTGAAATTACAACCCCCATAGGCTATCCTCCCTTATTATTCATCATTTTTCTCCTCCATCCCTATCTCAATTTTACCACAATCTAGTTTGAGTCGAAACATTTTTGAATGTAATGCATTACGCCCCAACTAACGTCTGTGTTTTGATATGAGTCGTTGTTGTTTTGTGTCACTTTAATTTGATATAGGAGATGACGCATTCCTGAAACTGTTGTCTTGTATCACTTTAATTTGATATAGGAGATGACGCATTCCTGAAACTGTTGTCTTGTATCACTTTAATTTGATATAGGAGATGTCGCATTCCTGCAACTGTCATAAAATAGTATAAAGTTAAAAAATTGAGATTAAATGGTAAAACAAAATAAAGAAATTCAATATATGTATATATACACACATATATGCTATAAATGGTTAATAAATGATGATAAATATATATTGAAATTCACTCAAATTGAAATTCAACATTATGTTAGGGATAATAGGTATTGCACCTTCCGTGGAACAGTAATAACATTCCATTAAAAACCAAACAAAATATTCAGTTTAATTTTCTCTAATTTCACAACTATTTGAATGCTTTGTTAAATTTCAGTAGTATTAGTGCGCGATTGCGCGTAAAATTTTTGTGGTTAGAATTTTAAAAAAATTATTATTACACACATGAATTCAATAGTTATTATTATTTTTAATTAATAATTACTAAATTTAATTTATGTGAGATGGGTGAGTTTCATTACATAACAAAATGACATTATATATAATGAGACCCACCCACCACCCAACTCGCATGAATTAATGGAATTGGACAATTACAAAATTAGTATTTTAAATCACTTATTCTATACAAATTGGTTGAAAAATAAATCCAACTTATGTTATCAAATACCAACTTTTAATTCTACCATGATGTTTTAGTTTTTGATGGGCAGGAATAAGTTATTAATGGTTTTACCTTCTCTAATTCTAAGCATACTTAGAAACCTTATTTCCATCTGCTAGAGCCAATTGCCCTTTAAGTTTTACTACCCATGACGAGTTTCAAATTGACAGTAATTTCAATTGCTATAACTAAAAAAAACGGCTAAAAAATAATCTTAGTACTTTGGTGATATAAAATATATATAATCCCAAAAAATATATTTATATTTATAACATGTGTAGAACTCAACTATGAGTGTAGTTCAAAAATTTTGTGCTCTATAGATATTCCCGTGTTTCTTTTCCAAGCCTTGTGGTAAGTATTTTAATGCATATATTTTTTTTTAGAGGTTTTGTTGAGGCATCAATGGTGGTGATGCCATGTTTGGAGAGAATGAGGGAGAGGTTGAAGAAACAAGAATTTATATATATATATATATATATATATATATATATAAAATCCAATTTTACCCTCACCTTCACATTTTTCCCTCACACGTTATATGTTTAAAGCCCCCTACCTTACACCGACTCTTTCTTTCAAACAAAATGCACTTGTTGCTTGCTATTCCTTTTTGTGTGATATATATATATATATATAAAACGTGTTCAAAGCCCCCCTCCATACCTTACACCGACTCTTTTTCTCACACAAAAAAGAAGTAGCAAGCAACAAGTGCATTTTGTTTGAGAGAGAGTTGGTGTAAGGTAGGGAGCGGGGCTTTGAACGCGCAACGTGTGAGGGAAAAATGTGAAGGTGAGGGTAAAATTAAATTTTAAAATTTACTTCGCTAAAAAGTGGTTAGAGTGTGGGCATTTGCATCTTTTTGTAAAATATGAAAAAATATCATGCACCTTTTTAGAAAAATAGAGTTTGCTGGTGTTCACTTTCGAAGAGAAATGGCTCACTGTGCAAACATCCTTAGGTTATGAAGTGGGTGATAGTAGGGTGAGAATGGGTGTCACCGATGGGTTGTGTCTTCCATTGTTGCCCCGCTACATTGAGAAATGAGCCGGTCCATTTTTGAAATAACATAAAATACCAATTTTGTGTTTAAGCTTTTGGGCCAAAATTTGATTTTCTTCTGTTACTGTTGGTTATAAAACAACTCCACACAAACATGAAGTGGCCCAAAAAATGACTACTGTAGCATTGTTGGAACGAAACAACACAACACAGAAAACATATACCAAACAAAAGTTATAATTTGGTATGACCCCGCCAAATGTAGAAAAAGGGAATGAAGTTAAAATGTCGTAAAAAGTTTGGATGCTGTTATGGTTTGTGTTACATAATAAGTCATGAAAAAGGTAATGAAGTTAGAGTGTCATAAAAAGATTATTATTTTATTTTATTTTTTTATTTTTTTATTTTTGTGTGCGTGTGTGTGTGTTAAATAAGAAGTATATATATATTTTTATCTCTACGAAAACTTAGTTGCTTTGATAAAATTTAAAATTTTAAAATTTCAATAGTTAAAGTTTTTAAGTGGTAATTAAAAAAACAAATATTTTTAATAAATTTTAAAAAATTCAATATTTAACATTTTTTTGTCATTTAAAATTTTGACATTCACCGCTCTTAGTGAAATTTAAAATTGTGCTATAAAACACATCTAATTAAATAAATGCTAAATCCATTTAGAATTAAAAACCGAATTGAAATATCAATCCATACAAACTCCTATCTTAGTTACAATTTAAGTATTTTGTACTCACATAAACTTAAATATCAAAATTCTAATTCATTATATATACTTTTTGTTTCATACCATCAAATGAGAATGTTTTAATTATGGGATTTGATTTTCACTTATTTTTATTAAGGGTTAATAAAGAAGCACATACATTTACCTTCAGAAAAAAGAAAAAGAAAAAGAAAAAGAAAAAGCACATACAAGATTAAAATTATCATTGTGTTTTTCTATCGTTTAAAATGTGCAAAATATATATTGCAAAACTGAAAAACATGAAAGTACTTTGGTAAAGTAAACTAAAATTACTTTAAAAATATTTTTACATTAGCTTCCTAAAACACAACTACAAAAAACAGAAAAAGAAAAATTGAATCTCCAACAGTATAAATAATAATAATGATGATGATGGTATGATTTTTTTTCCCGAAAGAAAAAAAAAAGAAAAAATAAAATTGAGTATTATAGCAAAAAATTTGTACAAGGGTCCTGGGTAGGGTATGATAGTCTTTTACTAAATGATGCGTATTCTCAATTTAATTTAAATCATCGTATTTTACCAAAAATCGAAAATGGAACCACACCCCTCCTATCAAAATATATCGAGATTCTTCTCCGGCCGCCTGTAGCAGAAGCGCTCCATCATTCTCTCAATACTTTAAACTCTCCCTCGCCTCCACCGTCACCGCTCTAGGGTTTCACCGATTTCTGCAACCCCTAATTCCCCAATCTCTCCGATTTCTTTCACTACACCGTACACATCGACTTTGATCTGAGTCATGGCCGACGAGCCACTCTCTTCGTCTCAACCATTGGCCTCTACGTCTTCTAATGCTGCTCCGTTGGGCCACTCTGTGATCCCAATCGTGAACAAGCTACAAGACATCTTTGCACAGCTCGGAAGCTCATCGACGCTCGAGCTCCCTCAGGTGGCCGTTGTCGGCAGCCAAAGCAGCGGGAAATCGAGTGTGCTCGAAGCCCTTGTGGGCCGGGACTTCTTGCCTAGGGGTTCCGACATCTGTACGCGGCGGCCGCTGGTGCTTCAGCTGTTGCAGACGAAGCGGAAGCCGGACGGCAACGACGAGGAGTACGGGGAATTCTTGCACTTGCCGGGGAAAAGATTCTACAATTTCAATGATATTCGTGAGGAAATTAAGGTATGTTTGGTATTATATGGTTGCTTTTCATTGTTTTATCTATGTGTCTGACTTACTGAGAATGTTGCCATTATTTACATCTTCGTTATTAGAATACTGAGATAGCTTTAATATTTTTTATGAGTGAGTTTTAAGCATTTAACTCTACATAATTAAAGGCTACTACTATGACTTTGGTTCCTCATTGATTGAAAACAATTTGCATTTGATTCAGATCCAACTCAAGATTGGTAAACAAAACTGATGTGAAAACAGAAAAAATCAAAATGGCACCAAAGAAACTTGTTTGGAGTGTTTTTGAAAACTATTTTAAAAAAATTCTGGTTTTTAGAATGTATAAAGTGCAAAAAAAACCCTCTTGTAAAACGGTATATTCAACTTTTCTTTACTATATTTTGTGCAAATTGCACCTTCATCTCTTGAAAGTAATTGTAATTTGCACCTCTTCATGCAAAAAATTCCGTGCAATATTATAATCCCCTATTACCTATATCGGTTAAGGTAAGATTGCACAAAACCCCCATATAATGTGGATATTGTGCATTCATACCATTTGTAATATGGATATTGTGCATATAACTATCTTATAAAATGAACACTTTGTGTATGACCCCTGATAGGCTGAGACAGTGAAGGGTATATTAGCAATTTGCAGTTACACCTCCTTCTTTTCACATTTTTCATATTTTAAGGGTCATTTGTGCTATCAGGGAGTTACAAGCACAGTACTGCGGGGTTCTTATGCACTTTAACATTGTTTTGGAAATGCAAAAAAGAAAAAAAAAAAGAAAAGAAAATGTCATAAGTTTTCAACAATAATATCCCTTGATGTTTCATTTTATCCATCCTTTTGGTTGGACCATGCTACTTTATTTTGTTCCTCAAATTCCCAAATCAGTAAAAGTACCAAGGCACGTCAGAACTTGTAAATACAGCATAGCATCTTCAAGCCTACCACACTCACTGTATGCAGCCATGCGGGTTGGAGGTTGGAAGCTTATAAACCAATCAAATTTCCATAAAATTTTGATGTTGAATGAGGATTATTTTGTTTCATGAAACAGCATTGTGAATTGTGTATACGTGGTCCATAAAATTTTAATACGTGTGCCCTGTCATGTTAGGTGGATCAAGGATGGATAAACATGCCACATGTAACAAAGTCCTGAACTTTTAATCTAACATCAAATAGCTAACTTTGGACTGTATGATTTTTTGCGTTTACAATACAAACCTGATTGAAAATGAGCCATGCCTTGTCCAAACAATTGCCTCTCCTTTATTACGACATCCATACACAATATTGATTTGCTCTCTTCATTTCTCTAGCCACACACACTCATTTGTGGTTATTCTGAGGTTCTATAAGTTTTTTTGAGATAATTGTGTCAAGCTTCTTATTAAAAAAATTAATAATACGCAAGCAAAGAAATATTTTGCTCCCTACAAGCATTAAAAATTTGGTATTTTCTTTAGAGTTTAGATATGCTTAGTACTTTCTCTTTATCCTTCCTAATCATCCACAGTTGACTTAGGCTGAGACAGAAAGGGAAGCAGGAGGAAATAAAGGTGTTTCAGACAAGCAGATACGTTTGAAGATTTTTTCACCAAACGTTCTTGATATTACACTGGTCGACTTGCCGGGTATAACAAAGGTTCCTGTTGGTGACCAGCCATCTGATATTGAAGCACGGATCCGGACAATGATAATGTCATATATTAAACGACCAAGCTGCTTAATACTAGCTGTTACACCAGCAAATTCGGACTTAGCAAATTCAGATGCGCTTCAGATAGCTGGAAATGCTGATCCTGATGGTAACTTTTGCTGTCAATAATTTTGTTGTCAATAATTTTGTTGTCATGGATTTATTCAGTTTAACAAAGCCAAAAAACAATCCATGGCACTAGGCAGGATGGGATCACTATTTTTCTTTATAACTCATTCACGGGTTTTGTTGTTGGCAGGTAACCGAACCATTGGTGTAATCACAAAGGTGCTGTATATATGACCAACTTAACATCCATATGAAGGACTTTGTAGTTTGTAATGATTGATTATTGTTCAATTTTTATATGGCTTAGCATATTCTGTTTGTTACTTCAGCTGGATATTATGGATAGAGGAACTGATGCCCGCAATTTTTTGCTCGGAAAAGTGATTCCCCTTCGACTTGGTTATGTAGGCATTGTCAATCGTAGTCAGGAGGTAATCTTGTAACTTCATGGATGGCAAACTTAGCTAGTTGTGTTATAACTCAAAATTTACTTTGTGGTGATAGGTTAGCAAAGTGACTTTCAGTTTTTTCTTCCTAATGCCTTCTTATTTATAGACCTTTTACAACTTGTATTATATTCACTCCTTTACTTGAATTTACACTCCACTTTTACTTCTCTAAATAATGGAAAAAGAAAACATTTCTTTCTGAATTACTTTTTGTACACACGTGTGTTTCTTTGTTCTTCCTCTGCCTTTTCCTTTAGAAAGTCTATCTAATATTATTAGATGTCGTACCTTCTTTTATTTAACCAATGACATGATTAATCTTGTATCTTTTATTATTATTATTATTATTTTTTCAATTTTAAATTTATTTATTTATTTATTTTATTTTTATTTTTTTATGAGTGATTAATCTTGCAAGTAGTCACCAGGCAAAAAATAGCTGTGTGTCCAGAACAATGAAAGATGCAAATGTTCTTTTGGTGTTTCTCGTAATAATTTTTAAGAACTTGGTTTAAAGCCTTCTATAATGTTTATTTTAGAGTATAGCAATCTTATGGTGAGAAATGCTATAATGAGGTTGACCTCAATACAATATTCGTGGTGCGTGAGCTCTCTGCCTTTTGATCCTGATCATACGCAAATGTGAAGACTTGTACCCGACCATTTGAAATAGGATAGTACAGTTACAATAAAAATTTTGTATTAAAATTAATGTACAATAAGTCGCACATTCCTAGTCAAGCTTTTTATCTTCTTTGTCCTTTGACATGATTTGACCAAATTGAATTGCTATCTTCGATCAGCTTTTATGATTTTGTTTTAAGGTGTTTTTGTCTGTTTTTTTATTATGTTAATTTTTTAAAAATTTTTTATATAGTAGGACCATTTTAATAGGGGCAGCACGATGGTGTGATTTGTACAGTATATTTTGTGCTCAAAACTGTGAAAATTTTAAAGAAGAAGAGCTAATGACAGTAATCATTAGACAGTCCTCATGATTGACTGCTCTTTCGTGGTAGTCTTTTGGCATTATTTCTTGGATGGTTTTTTTCATTGAAACATGCATGGTATTATTATGTTGTTTATTTACTATGACTGCTATATATAGAAAAATATCTAGCATAATGTATCCACTTCAAGGTTATAACTAAAAGAGGCAATTTTCATCATTTACTATGGTTTTATTGAAACTTGAAAGCACAGATGATCATATATCCACAAAGATTTATCATCCTCCCAATGATGAAAATCTACTAACCAGCCAATGAATGGATCAATATTCTTTGTCAAAGATTTTATTGCCTCTTTTAGTTACATGTTAAACTTCGACAGAGTTTACTTGTGTTTTGGCATGTATTAATCTTTAACCTTACAGTACATTAGTGCCAAAACAGTTGATGCATAACTCCACTAGGATATTGCAATTGAGGTGTCAATTGAATCTTTTGTTGCTTTGTGAAGGATGCAAACATGCAAAATGACTATGTTATTAATTGAGTTACCAAATGTGAGTAGTGCAGTATTGATCTGTGTAAGGTTTGCAACAGTACTTTTAAAGCAATAATACATTAAAAAGAGGCTAATAATTTTGCTTTGATGGCTAAGAGAGTGATGGCCCGACATCATTGAAAAAAGTCCTTTATATGTCGTGCTTGATATTATCAATATACTGCATCAAATACCTCTTTATTTTTTTCTTTTTTCTTTCTTCTTCTTTTTTTAATTTTTTAATTTTATTATTATTATTATTTTTTTTTTGAAAATATCCTCGAGATCAGGATTGATGTTGTGAAGGATGCAATGGATTTTTCTGAGAATTGTATTCATTGGACTTGGAGGGACTTCTAGTCTCTAATACAAAATATCCTTTTCTCTCCAGTCATATCAGATACTTGATGGTGTTCCAAAAAGTGAAGGCTAATCTTCTTAATTTTACTTCTTTGAAAAGAAAAATATTAGTCAAGATTATAGAAGAGAAAAATAGTAACTTTTGTTTTGTCAAATTATAAAATGTGTTTTTCCAACTGACATATGTTGTAGGAAACTTGAAAATACTTAAAACGTAGCATGCTCTTGGTAGTTTATCTGTAAAATCTTCGGACTTCATCTTTTGACAGCATGTTGCAATTCCCTCAGAATTTCTTGCATTTGTTGTGGGGGGAGCCCTTTAGGTGTGTGTTTTTTATTATTATTATTTTCATAAATCAAATGACAGTTTTATTGAACTGGTGTTCTCTAGGAATTGGAGGTAATTAGTATCTTTGAAGTTACGGAAAATCTATTAATGTTGTGCAATACAGTCATTCACTTTTTCTCAAGCTCATCCATTTGTGCGAATATGAAAAAGTTTAGCTTTGGCCCTTTTGTAGGTCTAAGTTTAATATGTCCCAAGTTCTGAGCTTGCAAACTAATTTTTTATGTGTCATTCAGAAATCAATTTAATTTGGCACGTGAGAAGAACAATGAAAATAAAGTGGCAGTTCGTTCTACTTGCTTGGGATTTCAATAGTTTCCCGGATTTAAAATAAATATTGTTTTCTCATAAAAAAAAAGATATACAGAGTCTCTTATCTAAGAGGTTGGCAGTAAAAAATAAGGTGAAAAATTTAAAGGAACTATGGCAGATTTAATGTATACCACCTGTCTTGTAGAGACCTTTTACCTTTTTTTTTTGGGTTATTTTCCATTTTTCTACCTCTTTCTGATTTTTCAATGATTCTATATTCCAAATATTAGGTAAAATAACGGGCAGATATGAAATGGGACTAGGCAGTGCATACCAATAGATTGAAGACGAATTGTAGTCAAACAAGTTATATTATTAATTGGCAGATGTACTTTTTTAAGTTTGTAAGCTTCTGATCTGGTTGGTTGATATCATTCTTAAACAGGATATCATGCTCAACCGGAGTATCAAAGATGCCCTTCTGTCTGAGGAGAAGTTCTTTCGCAGTCGTCCTGTATGACCATAATGTCCTTAAATTATACTTCATGTCTTGGCCTCTTATTCATTATGAAGTTGTTCATCTGTCTTTTGCTGTTTCATAGGTGTATAGTGATCTTGCAGATCGTTGTGGCATCCCCCAGTTGGCAAAGAAATTGAACCAGGTAAAGAGTATGACACTTAGTTGCAATGATTTCTACACAATATACTCTACTTTTTAGAAGTAGATGTATAATGTTAAACATTCTCAGTTTTCAATGCTGCTTTAATAATGCATTTTCTTGATTGTCGTATTCAACAGACACACTCTCTCTTTGTGTTTGTGTTTTTGTGTGTGTGTGTGTCTGTGTGACAGAGAGATAGAGAAGGAAAGAGAGTCTATACATATATAATTCACCATATATTTCACTCAGTGCATACTGAATATTGTTCTTTTAACATCCTCTTGGATCATTCTGGCATTTCTTGATTATCTAACCTCTCATAAGTCTTAAGTGATTCTATAAGGCCATAGATTTTGTATAACTTGTGCCTTGTTATATGCAGATTCTGGTTAAACATATCAAGAATGTACTTCCAGAATTGAAGAAACGCATAAGTGATGCACTGATTTCTGTTGCCAAGGAGCATGCTAGTTATGGAGAAATAACAGAATCAAGGGTTTGTTCTATTTTACTTGTCAAATTTCTCTACAATATGCTTGAGGACATTGCTAGATTAAATGGCAGATTGTTTCCAGTCATATGGTCATGGATTTTGCCCCATGCATCTAGGTAAATGAAAAATGTCAGGGTTATTGTGTTGCCTAACGTAGGCAGAATAGTAACTCATCAAGTTGCTTTATTTCTCCTGTGGTGATAGGCAGTTTTACATTTATAATACCGATTTCTAGTGGTATAGTTCTCTGTTTTCTTTGAGGTTAAATAATTTCTCTCACACAATGTTGGTAACTTCTTTCTGGTTCTGCAGTGCAATTCCATGTTCCGTTGAAACTAAGCATTGATTGTTGGGCTGTTCGGGCTAACGTTTTCTTATTATATTTGTACTTGTGCCGTTTCTAATCTTTTTCTTTTTTAACCAATAGGCAGGTCAGGGAGCTCTTCTTCTGAACATACTCTCGAAATACTCTGAAGGTAAATGTTGCTTTGGTTTCTTTCTATCGTCTTTTGCACTTCCTTGGGACATGAAATAAACTTCTTGGTAGGACCATTATTCCTGTCAATGCTGAAGGTTATTGATAGTATTGTTAATTACTTGTTTGGAACAGCATTCTCTTCAATGATTGAGGGAAAAAATGAAGAAATGTCAACATCTGAGCTGTCTGGTGGAGCGAGAATCCATTATATATTCCAGTCAATATTCGTGAAGAGTTTGGAGGTGTGATGTTGACACAAATTTTCATTGGATATGTCTTCTGTTATTCTAGATTACAGTTATTTATTCTAGTAAATTTTTTTTTTTTTTTTAGTTTGTTACTTTTTTCTCACCTAGTTAGAATGCAAATAATATCTTCAAGCTACAATGCAAATAATATGCTTAGGTATTCTTTGTTTTGTGTGCCATTTTTTGCTCCCTTCCATCAATGGCTGCCTCATTTAGTTATCTTAGATGGTAATGTTCTGTTGGTAGCTGAGTTGGGGGAACTTAAAATTTTACAACCACCACCAAACTTAATGATTGTAAGAAGAAACTCTTTTATCTTTCTACCATGTCTTTGCACTAATCAAATGCATCATAATGGTAAAGGAAAACGGGTTAATGATCAATGGTTTTATTTTCTTTCTAGAATTAGAAGTTGAAATTTCTTTTACAAGTCTCCTGATAGTTTGTCCCATAAACATTAAAGATGAGCTAATTTATGTGATTGCCATCAATATTGAAATAAAAAATGGAATGCAATACTAAACTTTAAACTGCTATGATTTTTTAAAATTTGACAAGAGTCAGTTTTTCTTGCAGGAGGTGGACCCCTGTGAGGACTTAACTGATGATGACATTCGAACTGCCATTCAGAATGCAACTGGCCCTAGATCTGCCTTATTTGTACCAGAAGTAGGTTTTTCAGTGCTTATCTTTTATTGTCGTTAAGAATGTTTTTGGGGAAATTTTTTGAACTTCTCTTCCACTTGTTTTTTTTTTTTTTTTTTTTTTCTGACCTTAACACTCATGATTTTATTTTTATCTTCTAATATATAGATTCCTTTCGAAGTTCTTGTTCGGAGGCAAATAGCTCGATTGTTAGACCCAAGCCTTCAATGTGCTAGGTTCATTTATGACGAGTTAATGAAGGTAGGGAATTTTTTAATTGATATGTTTCTTTGATATAAATCATTATCATTGCACCTTGACTAATTGGCGTGGTGTTTTAGATGAGCCATCACTGTATGGTAAATGAACTGCGAAGATTTCCTGTTCTTAGAAAGCGCATGGATGAGGTTATAGGAAACTTCTTGCGAGAAGGCCTTGAACCTTCAGAAACTATGATTGGACACATTATTGAAATGGAGGTATGCTGAAATTTGGATGTTTCAAGTTTTATTCTACTAGTTCTCTCTCTCTCTCTCTCTCTCTCTTTTTTTTTTTTTCTTTTCGTTGTGTGGTTATTTTTCCTGTTAGCTCTTGATTCTTGCTATCCGAGATTTATTAAGATTGTAGGTACTTGATAAGTAATTATGGGGTTTACTCTTTAGATCCTCTTAAAAGTATTAATAAATCTGGAAACTACTTTTCGTGCTTTGGATATACATTGTGATGGAGTCGACAATTTCTTAACCCAAGAAATTATTTTGTATGCTACAAGTTCTCTGTTGCCATTACAGCTTTGTAGAAATCATGGACTTCAGAAGACATAGGATTTATATTTCTTGTAAACCATGTCCTTTCTGGCCTTCCTGTTCCTACTGAATGAACTCTTGTCACTTATGTCTTATCATCATTACTGCTACTTGACTTTTCTAGATAAATGATTGGATCCATTCCTAGGATTCCAGTTGTGGCATCTTTTGTGTTGTTCCATCTATCCTTATTTGCAGAAGTATTATATTCTCTTTTAGTTGTTGACTATGTTTCTTAAAGTGCTTTTTGTTGTCTTGGATGCAATTAATGACAATATCTAGTTGGTGTTGTATAAATATTTGCACGTCCCCTCACAAAAACTGTACTGATCTTGTCTGAGCCAAACAAGTTTCAAATGTAATAATTATTTCTTAATTAAAATGAATCCTAGATTGATTATATGCGAAGCCCCACCATAAACCCTATCATGCACAGTTTGGTCTTATTTGGGGCTGCACATAGACTGGCTGAGAATAACTTATGTGTAGCTTTTGTCCTTTCATGGCAATTTTACACTCCTTTGTGTACAACTGTAAATATGGTGATATTTCATAATGATATGCAGCTTTGTTTTGATCCTTTTATAATTTTTTTTTCTTCCATAAATGAAGTAAATCGATTTTGGGACTTTTGTATATACCTGAGTCTTTTATATCTATCTCATTGATTTTGACATCTGATCAATTTTCCAAGATAAGTTGTGGATATGGACGATGATTTTCCAATCTTTCTGTGTGTTTTTGTTGAATATAGAACTCTTTTGGCATTTATGGGTAATGCATATGTGCTTGTTTTGTCGGCCATTTCTTAAATTACTGTAATATCTGTAAATTTGTTTTGTAGATGGACTACATAAACACTTCACACCCGAATTTCATTGGTGGGAGTAGAGCTGTAGAGCTGGCATTGCAACAAGTCAAGTCCTCTAGAATACCTGTAGCCCTTCCTAGGCAAAAGGTGTGTCTATTGAGTATTGAGTCGTTGGCATACCGAGTGTTTTGCATTTGTACCTGCCTTTGTTTTCTTTATCATTCTTTTTTGTTTTCTTTATCATTAATTTTGATAATTTTGGTTTGCATTTCTCCAATTAGGATGCAGTAGATCCAGAAAAACAACCGACATCTGAAAGAAGTCTTAAATCCAGAGCTATTCTTGCCAGACAAGCAAATGGATTTGTTTCTGAGCAGGTGAAGCTGATTCATTTATGTTTCTTACATTACCAGGCACAATGTTTTTCTTGTATAACTTGCACTAACATTATTTCACTTTCTAGGGCCATCACTCCCAATATTTTGTTAGGAGTATTGAACTTTTGCGTTATTCAATACTGTTCAGATTGTCTAATTATTCTCATTATGGCTTTATTGTATCATTAATAGGGAGTTCGGCCTGTTGCGGATGTCGAGAAAACCACATCTTCTGGTAAACTGTTGGATATTATCTGATGTCATTTTGAGTACTGTTAAGAACTTCCTTGAGTTGTTATTAAATGTTTGTTCCACCTACCCGGGATGCTGGTAGGGGAAGAGTAGAGACTAGACTTAACCTTTGGCATTATTGGAAAAATGTCTGGAATTGCCAACTGGAGAAAATAATGAACCTGAAAACGCTAGTTATAGTTTAATCCTCTGCAACATCATTTGCAAGAAGGCAGTCAATTACTATAAATTTTGTGAACTCTCTTGCTGTTTCTGAACTTTCTGTAGCACTGACTATCCCTAATCACCGTTCTTGTAACAAGTGACCAGCTTCGTAATAATTATGGAAGACCCTAATTTTGTTCTGATGATTTTTCAGGAAGCACAACTAGTTCAAGTTGGGGAATTTCATCAATTTTTGGTGGGTCCGACAATCGTATGTCTATCAGAGAGGCCTCGACAAGCAAGTTGTTTAGTGAACCTATTCAGAGTATGGAGCATGCCTTCTCTATGATCCATTTGAGAGAGGTTTGTGCATAAGATGTCCAGACTGGACTGACTGACCTATTGAGCTTACCTTGAATTTGCTTATATATTTGAAAAGTTATAATTTGCATAGATTTTGTTTGATTTATCTACTTGCCCTCGTAACGAATGTATGTTTCTTGTTTCTTAAAGCCCCCATCTGTCTTGAGGCCTTCAGAAACTCATTCGGACCAGGAGGCTATTGAAATTCAAGTCACAAAACTGCTGTTGAGGTCGTATTATGATATTGTTAGGAAGAACATTGAGGATGCTGTTCCTAAAGCAATTATGCACTTCCTGGTAATTGTTATATATCAACAGACTTGGAACTTATGTTTTTTTCTTGTTCGCTTTTACCCTGGAGTAATATAATGGTAAAATAGAATTGCCTGAGTTCCATCTAAAACAAACTTGTTTGTTGCATTGGGTTTAAAAATCTGTGTTTGACCTCATAATAGGACTAGCAATTGGTTGACATAGGCTTCAGCATTGCTTTGGACAATTGGCCTCAATTAGACGCGGTGGTAGGACATTTTTGTACAATTTGATACTTTGGGGGTGTTTTGTGCACATGAGGGTATGATATGCATTGTAAGCATAGTTGAGGGGTGTTTTCCGCACTTAACCCATTAATTATTTATTCATGTAATGAATGAGTTATCATTTTTACATTTTATATTATCAACTACTGTCTTTTTTTAGGAAAATTTAATCTAAGCCTGGTATACGGGGAGTGTTTGGGATGGAGCATCCTATCCCAACCCATCTCGTGAAAGAAAACTCCTTCCCATATCAGCCTCACTCTGCTTGGTTTCAAAATCAGAATGGATTCAGGAGCACCATGCATGATTTTGGAAAAAACCATAGTAGACAAAATCAAGATGTTTTAACGGGAAAAAAACATTAGTATAAACAAATATTTTATAGTTATATGTGTGAATTTTCTAATTTTTTAGATAGAAAAATATAAAAGATCGTGAAGAAGAATGAAGATAAGAATTTCCAAACCCGTCCCTATTTGATTAGAACACCCTACTTGTCTCAATAATGGTGAGGACCGTCAATGCAGTAAAATTGCCACCCCTTACTGATAAACACATTGCATCCAACTATACTTCACATCTTAAAATACAAAACCAAATCAAGATTAGAGTTCCTAGCTGACCTGCTCTCATTCTTTTGTTTTTGTTTTTTGGTTTTGGAAAGATTTTCTTTTGTTCGTCTGGTATGAAGGTTATCCCTGCTTTTGTTCTATAAATCACAATAATATATTGCAACGCTGTTTGTTTTCTAAATCAGTGCAACATCTGAACATTGTAAACTGAGCATTTTATGAATTCTGATTGCTTTTTGTCAATCTTTTTTATGCATTACCAGGTAAACCATACAAAACGAGATCTGCATAATGTCTTTATTAAAAAGCTTTACAGGTAACAAAGAGGAGTGATTGATTGCTTGATATCATTCTATTTTATGACTATTTTTTTCCTTTAAATATTGGACTGTAGACTTTTTTCTATTCTTTTGGCTATTGAGTATTTGAGCAGCTCAGCTCAAGTACACTGATTTTGCTAGATATTTGTTATGCAAAATGATTATGATGCTTGTGTTTTCATCTTTTGCTGGAACAGAGACAACCTGTTTGAAGAGATGTTGCAGGAACCCGATGAGGTGGCGATGAAGAGAAAGCGTACTAGAGAAGCACTTCGTGTTTTTCAACAGGCTTTCAGGGTGGGTTCTTCTTGATTCCTTGTTTTTATCAGAAGATATCTTTTGTCATTTTCAATGCCAATATGTTGATCTGGTCAGCACGTGACCTTTTGCATGAAGTGGGAGTAGTGGGAAGTTGGATGAGCTGCTTAGCCAGTATTCACTCGTGGCTTGTGTAAATCAGCTAACGTAATGTAGTGGAAGTATAATATATTTATATATATGTGTGTGTGTGAGTGTGCGTGCGCGCGCGTGAGGGTGTATATATAAGTTATATAAGGCATGTATCTGTGTGCGATCGACTTCCTGCATCTCATAGTCAATTTGCATGATGGAATAGTCTTTATCCTCCCTTCTTGAACTCCGCTCTTCTCGAGGATATTTGCTCTTAACTATTGAAGTTGTACAAATTACTAATTTCATAAGCTGCTGCTCAATGGCAATTTTTAAGCACTCAATGCGTAAAAGCTTCTGCAATATTTTATGGTCAATTTGATCAAATTCTCTTACTCTTGTAGACATTGGATGAACTACCACTTGACGCCGAGACGGTCGAAAGGGGTTACAGCTTGACTGCTGATCCAACGGGCTTACCAAAGATCCACGGGCTCCCAACTTCATCCATGTATTCTACAAGCAGTAGTTCAACTGAGTCCTACACAGCTTCTCCTAAGAAGCCGAAGTCCCGCAAGTCGTCTCACTCTGGGGGTCACTCTGGGGAGCTACAGCCGGCACTGTATGCTAATGCAGATTCCAACGGAAATGGACGCAATTTTCTGGGGCTCTATCCCACAGTTGATTAATCTGTAACTTGTTTGAACGAATGCATATGATCAAGTCTATCAAGGTATTCATTTAATTACTCTCTATCCGACATTTTCGGAAGACATCTGGATTTGGTCCAATGGAAATTAATATTCTTTTTTCTCATTATGTTGAGCAACACATATTTCCGTTTGTCCCTTTTAATTAGTTAGGAATGCGTTGTTCTATAATCCTCCTATAAGATGAACCGCAGTAGTTGCAGAGTGGTGATGTTTTTCAATTACTCAATGTTGCGTTATATAGGGGGGGATTGTAATTTCTGGGATAAGCTGGATGTGAAGGGTAGCGTTATAGTATGCATATATTTGGGAAGCTTTTGTAATTTTACCCAATTGAGTATTGTGTTTATTGGTCTTTGACTAGTATTTTTTAATAACTGCCATTACCAATTATGCTCGTCTTTGTTTTGGCCCAAAAAATGATATTTGTGTTTATAGTGGCTCTGGTTAAAACTTAAAACACCTGAATTTTAACATCTGAGTTGAGTACCAAATGTGTATTTACTCTTGGACAAGTTTCAAGCGGGATGCATGTTTATCAACTTAATTGGTTGGGGGCAGGAATTACAACATAAGATTTTTCTTTGAGGTAAATATTTTTAAAATTTTTTATTTTTTAATGTTTGTCAAAAGGTCGAGATTGAGTATATTGGGTAACTTGTCGGAAATTGATTGGTAAGTTATTTTTGTTAGGTTTTAATATTTTTTTATTTGTAAATATTTTACCATAATCAAACACTAGAAAATGAAAAAAACAAAAAAAAAATTTGAAAAAAATTTTATAAAATGAAAAAAACAAAAAAAAAATTTGAAAAATATTTTATATTCTTGTTCACTGGTCTAGCGCTTAGCACGGGGAGTAACGTTGTTCTTCAAAAAAATGTCAGCTAATTAAGCATATGAATTTCTGTGTTCATATGATGGCATGAGGGTTACTCGTAGCACACTTTATCAAACCGTCAAATTCTATAACATCATAGGAGTAAGCACAAAGATGTAATGAGCTGAGAGAGTAGATAACCAAGTGGGCCAAACTTCCCATTCAGTATCACTCTCCTTACAACGAAAAGCCCAATGGGTTCTCTACTAGTCCAAACTAAATAAAAGTGCTAATGGCAAGGGTAGGAGCACCAATTTTGTATCTTGAATTTGAGATTAAAAAAAATTTAATTTAAAATTTTATCCATATTTTATCGATTTTAAATTCAATATGTTGATTTGGTACTTCTAAACACAATATAATATAAGTGTATAACATGTTAAGAGCAACAAATATTGTAGTTTATTTATATTTTATGTCATGTCAAAGTAAAAAGCGAAGATTTTAAATTCCGGAATAAACAAACAAGTGAGTGTGTATAATTTGCTAGGATCAAGAGTGTGAATCATTTTAGAGAGAAAATCAAAATTTCGTGATTCACCGTCAAACTTATTTCTGTACCAAGACTTTGAGACTAGAAATTTTCCAAATAAATTTCAGTAAAAAAAAAAAGAAAAAAGAATGGTTATCATAAAAACAGAAAAAGAAAAAAAGAAAAAGAAGAGGAAGATGAAACTAAACAGAAAAAGAAAAGGCAGTTTTTATTTCCCGCTTCTTTCACTTCTTATAAATTTCCCTCCTCTACCAGCCTCAGTACTCAAAACCTGTTTCTTCCTCAGCTCCACAACTTTCTTACTTCCAAAATTTTCTGGGGAAACTTCTTTCTCGCTCCAGCCGGAAAACCATCTCACAATGGCGGGACCTTTCAATCACCTCACCTTTCACTTCCCTCCGTTCTCGTTCCATCGCCTTCTCTGTATCTTTCTTGTCATACTTATCTTGATCACCGCCATCTTGAACTACTCAGGCTTTCCGTCAAAAATTATTGTGAACTCTCGAGAGGTATTCTCTTATTTTCTTCCACTTTCTCTCACTTTATCTCGTTTCTCATCTTTCGAATTACCAGATTCCTAACAGTTTCATGTGAAATTTCATCTGTGAAGGACCCTGAAAGTGCGTTTAACAGAGATCCGAATACATATTCCGAAGAGCTTCTGGAAATCTACCACTCGTCGGAGGTTTTCCGTCTCAATTACGCGGAAATGGAAAAGAATTTCAAGGTTTATATATATCCAGAAGGAGATCCCAATACGTATTACCAAACGCCAAGAAAGCTTAGTGGGAAGTACGCGAGCGAAGGGTATTTCTTTCAGAATATTCGAGATAGCCGGTTTCGGACCGACGATCCTGATCGCGCTCATTTGTTCTTTGTACCGATTTCTTGCCACAAGATGCGAGGAAAGGTATAAATTCTCACCTAGTTATTTCTATTTTGTTGGTTTCTCTTGGCTTCTGCTTGATGAAATGTGTTTCAGGAATAGATTTTTGTTGTAGGGTTTATTCTTTAATGTTGATGCTGGCTCAATTTTTAAGAACTTTTTGCCTGTTTGATTGATTTATTGTGGATGTTGTATTCTTTTGCCCCTTTGGATTCGAATCCTCAACCTTCCATTTTGAATTGTGTGTGTATTTATAAAATGTGTGAGATTTACATCTTACTGTTTAAAGATTGATTTATTGTGTATGCTGTATTTAAATTTTTGGTAGGTAAGTCACACACCCACTTGCCCCTTTTGGGATTTGAATCTTCAACCATCCGTTTGGAATTATCTGTGTGTGTGTATATAGTATGTGTTGGATTGACATCTAACTGTTTGTTGGAGCATCTGATGAGAATAAGGCTATTTTCGCCAAGAACTACGTCAGGAGATTTGCTCTGAGTACCTTTACTGGAGTTGGAACCCTATGTGCTGATCTCTCTCTTTATCTCTAATCTGTGTCATGAACATCTTGTTCTATGCAGGGAGTATCCCATGAGAATATGGCTATTATTGTTCAGAACTACGTCCAGAACTTAACCTCCAAATACCCTTACTGGAATAGAACCTTGGGTGCTGATCATTTTTTTGTTACTTGCCATGATGTTGGTGTGAGGGCAACTAAAGGACATAAACTTCTGGAAAAGAATTCAATTCGAGTTGTGTGTTCAGCAAGTTATGATGGTGGGTTCGTCCCACACAAGGATGTTGCTCTTCCTCATGTAATGCAGCCATTTACTCTACGAGCTGGAGGAAATGACAAAGAGAACCGGTAATGTCATTTGGTACAATTAGTTTCTGTATTCATTTTGAGGAACAATTGTTTGGTGTTGTGGTAAAAATTTCACCTGTTAAGAGTGAGAACATAGGTTTAAATATGAGGGCACCCAATTTGGCATATAATGCTAGGGGTTAGGCCTATATCTAGTCTGCATCCCCAGTTGGCCAAATTTGTGGGACATGCGTTGGAATTGCATCAATTTTTTGCACATTCCTTTTAATGAAGCTGAAGCTGAAAAAAGCTTTAGTATTGAATTTTTGTTTCCAATATATTTAGTATTTTTCCCTTCGTTTTAGTTTTGCAATATATAATTGGATATTGGTTGGTCCCCAACCTCTTTTAGGTGTTTTGCTTCTACTCTTTTGTATGCATTTAGTTCCTGTATAATCTCCTTCAGCAAATTTATTAAGTCCAAAAATGCTCTGAAAATGCTTGCGTAATTAGAATGATTTGCTAATTTCCTGCTGCTGCAAAGTATTGAACTATAACATGGTACCTTTTTGAAAACCTTGTTCTAGATTTTGGTTTCTTTAGAATTCTAGACTCAAAACCAGAATAAGATTAGGTTTTCAGTAATCTGTGAGCTTCTCCGAGCTGCTGTTCTTGAACCTTGTACCTGAGTTAAATAATTATATGTTGCTAATTGCCTGTTGACATCTTCTACTGCAGTAAGGTAGCTTCTTTTTAGATATTCCTAAGTTTACAATGAAATTTCACTGTACATTTTCTATTCTTATTCTTTCTATTTAAGTTTTATTGTAACCTCACTGCACGAATTCTCACACAATCATACAAACCTTATTACTAGTATATTAGTAAACTTGCCTGAGAAGCATGTGAGTTTAGGTGGTACTTTTTACCCTGTAGGATTTTTGTTAGAGCTAAGTTAGTATATAAAAATAATATTTTCACTCAGGCTTTAGCAAGCTGTGGATACATCATCAGCTCTTTGTTGGTGAGAGGCTCGTGCAAGAATTATGTTCTCTATGATGTTTACTAGGCCTTTATTCTCCATTGTTTGCTTCGTGGGGAAATTAGTTTAAGTGACTTTTTTTTGGTTTAGCTTGTTACTTGTTTGAGATTATAGTAGTTAATTATATGCCTATAACAGAAATATGGAATTTAATATCATGTTAGTGGAAACAATAATAACTAAGAATTTTTACTGATTCAGATAGCATATTTGTGCAGGAGAACACTTGGTTTCTGGGCAGGTCTTCGCAATTCAAAAGTAAGAGAGACACTAGTTGATTTATGGAAGAATGAAACAGAACTTCGTATCAATAGCAACATAGTAAATGGAACAGCTGGACAGTTGGTATATAAGAAGATTTTTTATACCTCTAAGTTCTGCATATGTCCAGGTGGTTTCAAGGTCAATAGTGTTCGTTTAGCAGACTCTATCCATTATGGATGCGTTCCTGGTAAAACGAAAATAAATTCCCACTTCTTATATGGAATGTATTTGCATATCATGATTCATGAGTTATATGAAGCCTCTTATATGAAGGCTAAATACTTTCTCTTTTAGTGTGGGGTCCATTTTCTTTTCTTGTTTTGTCCACAGAGATTGTCCTCTAATTGATTTTTCTAAGCAGTTTTGTGCTTGTTTGCAGTAATCTTGTCAAATTATTACGACTTGCCTTTCAATGACATCATTGACTGGCGGAAATTTTCTGTGGTACTAAATGAGCGTGATGTTTACCAGCTTAAGGACATTCTGAAAGGCATACCAGATTCAGAATTCATTGCATTGCACAACAACTTAGTCAAGGTAAAAGATCTTTTACCTATAACAGGAAGCTATCAGTTGATACCGTCAACAAGGTTTATTGGATTTCTGAAAATTTTGATTTGTCATACATGTAGCTTTTTCATTTTCCTTTGGGACTATAGGGCTCTTTAAGAGTGAGAATCCGTTGTGCTGTCAATGTTCACAAGTTAGACAAATAACGTAATTATATTTCATGCATTATAAAAGAATTGCATAAACTCTTTTGATTCAAGGTAACAAAGGACGAGTATGTATGATAAAGAAGACACAGAGTGGCTTTCCCAGAATATGCGTGATATAGGAGATGGTATTCAGTGACATGTTTGAACTTGGTCCTTTATAATATGATTGAACCTTACATCTACAACTCAATCAAGTCTTGTTCCAGCTATTAGAATGACAATATGAGTCCAGTTTCACTATCCTGCTCTATTCAATTTCAATTCTGCGACATGTTTGAACTTGGTCCTTTATAATATGATTGAACCTTACATCTACAACTCAATCAAGTCTTGTTCCAGCTATTAGAATGACAATATGAGTCCAGTTTCACTATCCTGCTCTATTCAATTTCAATTCTGCGACATGTTTGAACTTGGTCCTTTATAATATGATTGAACTTGGTCCTTTGCGAAGGCTGAGGATTCAAGCCTACTGGAGGCATGAGTGTGTCAGTATATTTGTCTTTTAGAATTGTTTTAAAATAATCAGCAAATTTATACATCATGGAAATGCTCGTCCCTCAAGTGAAAGAAAAAATGAGATTTGTTAGATCTATTTGAATATGCCTCTACAAAATCTACTATGTTTGAAATTTATTTGTTTCCCTTGTGTTTTTCTTTCTATAATAACATTCTATTATAAAGTATCCTTCACTTGTATGCATTTACTATAATTTATTGCATTTTATTTGGGTGCATAAGCATTATAATATATAGAAAATCATATGGACATATGTTTTTTTCTTTTGTCTACAGCTTCTCAATAAGTAGATACTTCAAATGTGACCTCCACGATATAAATCTAAATAGATTTTTTGACACCATTGTTTAAAGTTTTAGTTGTTATCCAATCACTCTCGAAACATCTGTAGCCGGACTCATTAATTAATAAATCTAAATAGATTTTTTGACACCATTGTTTAAAGTTTTAGTTGTTATCCAATCACTCTCGAAACATCTGTAGCCGGACTCATTAATTAATAAATAATGTGATAATTTGTGCAACTTTAAATGTCCTCTTGTTTCTACATATAGCTACTAAATGCTTTTTTTATTTATCACTCGACAAGCAATGTTTTAGTTGTTATGATCTTAAAAAACAATTTTGTTAAGTAAGTTCCAAGCATTGGCAGAAATACCATATGATCTGAAAGTCCTTTTCTTTTTCATTCAAACGATATTTCAAATTAATTATTTTTTGCCTTCGTTTAGTTTCATCATCTCAGATCCTCACCCCGAATGCATTTACTATGACTGGAATATTTAGTTTTTTTCTCCCTTAACAAGCTTCTGCAAATTCTTCTCTCCATCTTCAGTTACTACTACCTTGTTAACTTTATTTTAAGTACTTGTATATTTCAAAACAAATTTTTTGCCAAATTTTATAGCATTTCCTTTTTTACCACCAAACTTTTTGAGCGACTCAATCACGAGTCCATTCTCAGTGAGCTCTTGTGCTCTCTGTCATTGGGTTGAGAGGCTGACATCACAACCTTCCATCCAACAAGAGAGTAGGTTGGAATTCACTAACAGCATATCATGATAACTTTTACCATTTATTTTTCCCATCAATCTATCAAGAATCGCTTTCTATGTTCTTTTATATTCCGCATCACACACATACACATCATATATATTTTTTAAAATAAAAAAATCCCCTTATGGGGCTCACTTCAGCACCCATAGCCTTGTGTCAGGTCCATGTCGAGGCGCCAATGGCACTTCAGACCTGGATTTGCGTGAAGTTCATCGTTGCACAAACAGCGATCTTGATGAACTGCTTTAGAATGTAGGAAGGAATCCTCTTGCCTCAACTAGAACCTTCCCAGTTTCATGATTACTTACAAAATGCATAATGATCTAGCGAGTTATATCTTAATTTGTTTCCAGAAAGTCTAATTATTCATATTCCTCTATTTCCTCATTGTGTGACTTGTGAATCAGGTTCAGAAGCATTTCCAGTGGAATAACCCGCCAGTCAAATATGATGCATTCCATATGGTCATGTACAGTCTCTGGTTGCGCCATCATGTCATCAGATACTGAATTACCATGCAGTGTTCCTAAACCATTATGTACATGTCCAAGTTTCTACACCAGAGGCCAATCATGGGGCCGGACACACAATATTTTCTCAATTTGATTCGGTATCTGAACTATAAACATACTATCTGATTCACTTTGTCCCCTTAAATTTCTTTCTCAAATTGACCCTGTTTGTTTGAGCATAAGGAGCATATTCCGACTGTACTTTGGTTCCTTTTTTTCACTGCTAGAGTTTTTGTATGCTTCTCGGAAAAGGAGATTCATCTTCCATAAATAGCAGAGAAAGTTTATAGATAGGTTTGAGATCTTATAGGATAAAGAATTATTTCATAGATGTCCCCATTTCTTGTTTCAGCATAGGGTGTCAGTCTCATTGACCATGCTTTTGCTGGAAATGTGCATATGTGTGCTCTTGATTGGATGTAAAATGGTTTCAGTTTGCAACTTAGCAGAAATATATTTTTTAGCACATTACAGTGCGATATGTGCTTCTTAATAAAGATGTAAAATGCATTTGCTTTGTACCTTTGATTATCTTAGCTGGCAAGTGACAATGGTGCCTTCAAAATGTTATTGTGAACTTAGTATGCTTTCTCTTCTATTACCTTTTATAGCTGTGCTAATAGATAGCTGTGTTCATTGATGCTTAAATTTCTGTTCATTTGCTTGAATTCTCAAATATTGAAAATGCAATTTCTTGTTAACAATTGAAAGTAACTCTTTGCCGTTCGTTTGGGCTAGGATTATTAGGCCCAAAGACCATGCACATTTAATTTTAAACTAAGATTTGGTGGGGTGGGCCAGGCCAAGTCTATAGTGCAACAACAAGGCGACCCACGAGAGGCCAGCAGCAAGCTACTGTGGCACCCTCTCCCCTAAAAAAAATTCATTTAATACCATGTGGGCCATTGGCCCACGTATCAAATATTAAACTGATAAGAACAGATACTATACTTGATCTTAGCCAAAAGGCCGAGAAAGGTATGACTTGTCCATTCACCAGCCTCTCTTTTTATAACCAACTCTCTTTCCCTACTTTTCTCTCTTAACCAATGTGAGACTTTGGTAAAACACTTCTATCGGCTGTTATTCATGGTCATGGCTTTCATGATATATCTATCATCTATTGATTCCCTTAACTTGCTTCTGACTTTTGAAATTGCCTGAATAATCTTCAAGTTGGAATAAGTTAATGCCTACCATCGTCATGCCTTATTGAAATTTATGTTTATACACATACTTAAAAATTGTGTTTATATATATACATCTATGCATCCCATACAAAGTGCATCTGGCTGTTGCAAAGGCTGTGCATTGGGATGACAAGCTAAAAAGTATATTCATTTGGGTTTGGCATGAGTTTAAATTTATCGACATTCAAGGCACGAAATTTTCAAAAGAGAGATAGAGAGGTGAAAAAACAAGGAGCATTATTAATGTAGAGATAATAGTGATGGTATATGCTATTTACTATTTAGCGTGAGTGATTAATCCGAAGAGATTTACAGAGTACAAAGAATACCAACCATGAGGTTAATATTAATTTTTTAAACACAAAGTGAGTATTAGTGCACACTTTAAACATACATATGACCCCAATAATATATAATCAACATAATTTGAGTCACAAATTTTTTTTCAATGTAATTAAATTGGTTTATATTTTAAATTTCAATAGCATTAATCAAGTTGAAGGAACATTCTAGGGCCTTGTAGGATGACACAGGACAATTACTTCATACAAATAAAGTTGAGGGTTGGGGTGACCACAAATCAGACTCTATCGATTTAGGAATTAAACCTAAATCAATTTGATCCCTATGAATTGATAAAAATTAAAACTAATCTAATTCGTGGAAGACTTAAATCAAACCGATCCAGGATCGGATCACATCAATTCTCCGGATTGAAATTTTCTAAACAGACTATTTTTATTTTTATTTTTTTAATTAACCACGATTTAATGTATGAGTTATCAATTTATCATATATCAATTCATACAAGAGTATTTAAAAATAACAACGAAAATCAATCATTATAACCAATTTAGATTAAATGAATGATTAGAGGAGGATAGTTACCGTTTTCAAGTTTTACTGACTGAAGAATCCAAGAACTATTACATGATCCAGAAGCTCGACACCACAATACTGGTCTGCGATGGTGTTTGTCCTTTGGTTGGGTTCATTAATATAAAAGCAAACAGATCTAAATAGAATTATTCATAAAATAATCATCTCATTATTTTTCTCTTTATTATAATCCAAACAGATGAAAGGTTTTATATTTTATTTTTTTAAGTACGTGTGTATTGGTCCCATAACACATGTACCATTTAAGTCAGGAGTACGGTTTAAAAGTAAGACCTCAAGAATTTACCTTCGAATCCCTGCAACGCCGCAATGCCCCTGAAGCTCTATTTACTTATTTACTTGATAGAACTAAGAACTTATTTCTTTTTCATAACAAGTATTCAAAAACACATTTAAGTTATTTAATGGGAGGCGATATTCCAACTCCATTATATTGCAATTGCACTCTAATTTTAACAACAATGACATTTCTAACCTTGATTTTATAAATAAATGATTATTTGTTCTCAAATACCACATATACCCTTTAAAATTTGAAACCATTGTTTTTGTTTGTCAAACAAATAATCTTTTGCCTTTCAATTCATCTGTTTTTTGTTCTCATTGCCGTTAATATCCCTTTTGAGCTCTGAAATTGGTAAAAAGTTCCTAATTAATTTTAATCAATTATGTGAAAATATTTAACAAAAAAAAAAAAAACTGCGGAATGTAGAGACAACAATCACGCCACAGGGGGTGTGATCCACTCAAATGCACCATGAGCCCCTTTTGGACAATTAGAAGCCACATCCAGGAAACCTTTTTTCTTCGATTTCTTTGCTCATGTTTGTCTGTTGTGCTACATTACGAACACAAAAACTGGCCTAAATAAATATAACTCTACAAAAATTCGGTATGAACCCATTTTCATAGAGTTGGGGGGCAGTTGTTAACACCTAAAATATAATTTGAAGCAATTGTGCCACGTGGTCAGAAACCATGAAGTCTGAACTTTGGATCAACCCATGACCATCAGGGCCAAAGATTAATCATAGTGATCCGATTTAAGGCTGAGAAGGAAAAAAAGTGGAATTTTTAGGTCATTAAAACTGATATGAGGTTTCGAGCTCATAACCGGCCTGATTGAATTTCTCTGTCACAATCATCATGATCATGAGTTTAGGCCAAAATCCTCTCAGTCACTATGGTCATGAGAGTCTCAGTCATCATGATCACGAGTTTAGGCCAAAATCCTCTCAGTCACTATGGTCATAAGAGTCTCAGTCACTATGGTCATGAACTTAGGGGAAAATCCTCTCAGTCTTCATGATCATGAGTTTAGGCCAAAATCTTCTCAGTCATTATGGTCATGAGAGTCTCAGTTACTATGGTCATGAACTTAGGCCAAAATCTTCTCAGTCACTATGGTCATGAGAGTCTTAGTCTTCATGATCATGAGTCTTAGGCGAAAATCCTCTTAGTCTTCATGATCATGAGTCTTAGGCCAAAATCCTCCCAGTCTTCATGATCATGAGTCTTAAGCCAAAATCCTCTCAGTTTTCGTGATCGTGAGTTTTAGGCCAAAATCTTCTCAGTCACTATGGTCATAAGAGTCTCAGTCACTATGGTCATGAACTTAGGCGAAAATCCTCTCAGTTTTCATGATCATAAGTTTTAGGCCAAAATCCTCTCAGTCTTCATGATCATAAGTTTTAGGCCAAAATCTTCTCAGTCACTATGGTTATGAGAGTCTCAGTCTCATGGTCATGAGTTTAGGCCAAAACCTTCTCAGTCACTATGGTTATGACTTTCACTCTCAATGGTCATGATCATAAGTTTACAGTCAAAATCCTATCAGTCACTGTGGTTATGAGAGTCTCAGTCTCATGGTCATGAGTTTAGGCCAAAATACTCTCAGTCACAACTTTCTCAGTCACAACGGTCATGGTCATGAGACTCTCAGTCATAATGGTCACAATCCAAAATCTCTCCAAAGACTCATAACCAGCCATGATCAAGAGTCTCGACCGTTATTTCTCTCGGTCACAATGATCATAAGACTCTCGGTCATAATGGTCATGATCATGAATCTTAACCAAGATTTTTAGTCACTATGGCCATGATCAAGACTCATGACCAAATATGGTCATGATCAGGGGTCTCGGGTCATAATCACTTGAAGAATCTTTGGGGTGATTCAAATGAAGATCGGCTGTGAATCCCAATGATTTAAGAACCCAACAAGTCAGGTCTAGAAACGTGAAAAGAGCTTGAAATAGAAAAAGGACAACTTGACCATGTTAGAGGTCCAGAGATTCAGAACCCCAGATGCAAAGTTCTCACTCACATCTGATGAAGAAAGTCAGATTTGTCAGTAATCATATGACTCCAGGCTAATGTACAAATCAAGCCAGACATGACAGGTGCAGAGAGCTGAAAATGGCTTGAAGACCAAAATCATCAAGCATGAAAGAAAAGGCACCACTTAGTAAAAAAATACTATGTCAGATATACTTGTATCAGCCTATAGAGGGATGTGCAAGTCAGTCAACCTGACCAGCTCAGCAAGGTGGTTAGGAAAAGTCACTATCAGCTTACAACCAATCAATTTCTAGAGAAACGGTTGAAAGGGACAACACCAGGTGGAAGCCTCTATAAATACCCACTCAAACCTCATAAGGAAGGGGTCCAAGACCATTTCTAAAGTTCAACCTTTAGCATTCATATCACTTAGCACTTAGCTTTTATTTTATCAAGTTCAATTTATCACTTAGCTTTTATTTCAGCAAGTTCAGCTTAGCACTATCAGTTTAGTACTTAGTTTATCTTTCAGTATTCAATACTTTAGTTTCCATTTCAATCAAGAGTTTGTAATTCATTCATCATTGTAATCAGTTAAGTTTAATGAAGAAAGGTTTGCAGATTTAGGTATATTTATTGTTCAGTTTAAGTTGCTTCTAATTGATACTCATCTTAAATGTTTAAAGTCCTTTCTTAAAAGCAATAGCAACCTTAAGGAGAGGGTCATTCCTACTCTCCAACTTTCGCCTGAATCACCTTAGGTCGGTGACCTGACCCAATAGGAATAGTTTGGCAAGAAATATTCGAGTCCTTTAGGACTCTGGCACGCCCACGTTCTAGGTCAGCCATTAATTGGCTAGCGACCTCAGACCACTTTGTGAGCCAAACAACTTTGGCACGCCCGGTGGGACAAGTGTTTTATTCGTGAATGGTCGTCGAGACCAGGTCACAGACTCAGACTTCAGCTGGACAAGCTAACCCTCAAAGGGAAGATTAGGAAGAAAATCAGCCTGCTCCCATCATGCAAGATTCCGGGTCTGTGCATGAAGAGGGACATCAGGCCAGCCACCAAATGGCAGCCGAAAGTGTCATCAATATGGTGACACGATTTGAATGTAGAGTGGAGGCTTCCCAATGCCAAGTCGCTTGGGAAATCAACAAAAATATAGAGCCATTGGTGGCT